GGTTTCGGTCCACAGATCAGCTGGGTACTTTACCAGGAGTTAGAAAAAGGTTCCAAACATTCCCAAATAGTGGCACAGGATTGGCAAATATAGTTGCTAATCTTCGCAAAAACTGTCGCTAACATTTGCTTACAGTCGCTAACAGTCGCCAACTGCCTTTCGCAAACATTTGCTTTAATGTTGCTAAATGTCGCTAGCGAATGCTTCTGACGAATGTTGGCGAAAACCAGGGATCGCCTTTGCGACATTTAGCGACTTTTAGCGATGTTTAGCGACAATTACAAAATGTAGCAACATTTGAGCGAATGTTTGCGAAGGTGTTTGTAAAAGGCAGTTAGCGTTTTTTAGCAACTGTAAGCAAATGCTAGTGACAGTTTTTGCGAAGATCAGCAACTTTTTGCCAATCCGTTGCCACTATTTGTGAATGTTTGGGACATTTAGCTAATTTGTACTCAATGGTTCGATTTTATATAGGAACCATATGGTGACGTGGTCGCAAATAAAAAAGAACTTTAGCGACACCGTCTTACAAGTACCGTTTGCAAAGTCTTACGACTGTCTTGCGAATTTTCTTGCAACCTTTTACGAAACCTGGCGAAACCCGAAAATTCGCTACGTTCGCAAGCATTCGCCTGCGAATATCGAGTGAAAAGGGGAAACATTAAGAGAAAGGAAGACAAAAGAAATCAAAAGAAAGCAAATGTTATCATAACATTTGGTAGATCGGAGTCAGCTGATGTATTATTCCTCCCTTTCTCAGGTGCTTGGTAAGAATGAAAACTAGACTAGTTTTGTTTTTGTTCCCTTTACGTTAACTTTATTTTATAATAATATCATGTATTTCGAGACCCTCCTGGGCCCAGTTTCATAAATATTGATATCAATAACAAGTTACAAGCTACTGTTATAAGCTACTGAAATCATGGCATCTGATTGGCTGAGAGCATATTCGTCATATACATTTTTCATTTGTTATAGATAACAGGTTTTATGAAACGGGCCACTGGTATTTTGTTTTACCATTATAACCCATGTTTTATAATATCAACACTGTCTTCCTATGCCAGAGGTATGAAAGCATGTGTTTCGACTCACACCCAAAAATATACGCATGTGCGTTTATATTAAATGCTCAATATCAAGGGCTTGACATGTTTGTTTTAAAGGGAATTATGTAGAAGTATGGGAGCGTTGGCTAGAACCGAAACAAATACATCTTGGCCTAACGATTATCCCGTCATCATTTCTCCCAAGTGTATGCAAATTATTGGATTGGATAATGTTAATACCTATAAACCACGAATCAAAGGTCGTCTTGTTTATTGACTGTATTTTGATAATTAGTTGTTGTAGGGGATTATGTAATCTAATTGCCCCGACCCAACACAAGTTACTTCCTTTAAAAACCTAATTACTTTCTGTCTTTGTAGTCAATTGGCCCAAATATTTCCTACGAATATTTTACTGTTACTTTATTTTTATGATTTTTTCTTTTTTCATTTTCTTATTCCAATATTTATCAACTGTCTCTTCACCGTTTTTCATCCTGCATTCTCCACCTCTCCCATCATACCTAACTTAGGTTCAGGGACATCTAGAATGGCTGAGGATAGATGACGTCATTGTCCCCTAAACTATCGAGCAGCTGCAGGAAGCAGAAATGTTCTTCGCTGCTACTGTTTCGAAACTCGTTGAAAAGGAATGATTTAGTCCTAATACGTTGCATTAACGCCACAAAGAAGACACATTTCTGTAGATTTTACATACAATATAAACTTTAATCTTTGATTAGTCTTGAAAGATATTTTGTTAATTACTCTTCACTTCTTTTTTTTTTTTTTAAAAAAACACAAAACCATTTGCTTTTCCACTATCCACCATCTATCATTTCCATTTCTTTCTAATTCGGAGTCGGTTATTGGCAAGTTGGTTGAAATTAGACTGAATTGTCATTTGTCAATCCTACATTTTAATTTGTTTCCCCTCTAAGAAACTTATTTCCTCATGCATCTTTCAAATGTACATGTACGTTCATGGTAACAACTGGGTATAATGCGTACTTACTTTTAGAAAACAGGAAATGGAACATTTGGGGTATGTTTGTATAAAAAAAATGTATATTCTTGAATAAACAATATTAATACGCTTTATTATACATATATAGCTAAAACACAGAAAACATAATTTTGTGCAAGTGCATTAGCAGAGTTAATAGTAACATTTTGAGCATTTTCATGAACAAAAGAAAAAAATGCCCCTTTTAATTTGTCAAGTGCCTCAATTACTTTGAAAAGTGGCCCCTTTCATTTTCATCTCTGATAAGTGCCCCTTTAATTTTGACCCTAGGTCTTTTCCCTTCACAAGTTCCCATTTTCCATTCTAATAAGTGCCCCTTTTCTTCTGTAAGAAGCGCCTCTCCCCTTTTAATGACTTCCCTTTTTTAACTCAGATAAGCGCTTTTTATATTTACATGTGCCACTTTCTTTTCTATTGAGTGCCCCTTTTCCTTACGATAAGTGCCCCCCAATTTAACAAAAAAAGAGATTCTTCCTCTTCTCATATATGCCCTTTTTAAAGTGTTCCTTTTCATTATCATCAGTTTCTTTTTTATCTCTGGTAAATAAAACTCCTTTTAATTTTTCAGATAAGTGCCCCCTTTCTCTGCAGATAATTGCCCCTATTCAAATCTGGGAGATGCTCGTTTTACTATGACAAGTACCCATTCTCCTCCTAAAAAGTGCTCTTTTCATCTTTGGTGATTGCCCCTTTTCACCTCTAATAACGGCCCCTTTTATTTCGACATGTGACCCTTTCCCTTTGTAATAGATGTTCTTTTTCCTTCTTGTTAGTGCCCCTTTCTCTTTTTATCTCTGATAAGTACCCCGTTTATTTTAACATGTGCCTCTTTTAATAGGAGCCACTTCCCCTTTTCATAAAAAATCCCCAGTGAATGCCCTATTAAAATCTGATCGGTGCCTCTTTTTTCAATAAATGCACATTTTCCTTTATCATAAATGCCCCTTCTTAATTCTCATAAAAGCCCCTTTTCAGGTGCGATAATTGCCCTTTTTACTTCCGATAATTTCCCTTTTAACAATGATACATACCCTTTTCCTTTCTAATAAGGGACCTATCCTTTTTTTTATAAATGCCTCTGTTCACCTCTTATATTTTTCAAATTGTGATGGGTGCCCCCTTTTTCGTCCACAAATGCCCATTTACAATTGCCTTTTTCATCCCTGGTGAGTGCCTCTTTTCAGGTGTAAGTCCATTTTCAACTCTGATAATAACCCTTTGTACTTTGACACGTGCTCATTTTCTTTTCTAATAAGTGTCTTATCCCTTTCGATAATTGTTTACTTTTACTCTTATCATCAAACATGCCCCTAATTTAAAGGTACTATCAGCAATTTCCCCCAAAGGTCGCTCCCATTTATAGATGATATAAATGTTTTACTTACATGTATCAAAGACATTTTGAGTCTTCTGTTATGAGAATGTACTTTATAAGATTTAATTTTTCGCATTGCAACCTCACAAATAAAAAAAATCACACCAAACTGCTAATTATGATGTTTAGGCACTATCTTGTAGGATGTATCAAGAGAAACAAATATTGAAATCATCCATGATAATGTAATAACAATGTAGGGGTTTATACCAATATTAAACAATTGTATATTTTTGCTTTAAGATTTTCCTTTGTATGTGCCCCTTTTTGTTGGTGCCCCCCCCCCCCCACACTTTGGGAGTCGCTCCGCCGCCCCTGTTCCCCCTACCTCACTTTCTCTCACATGTATTTTCGACTTCCTCGTATCATATCTCTGTCTCTATGTTGGTGGGTTCTCTAACGCTCTCTGTCTCTCCTTCGTTTTACCTCCCCTAGCCATGTCAGCCTCCTTTTCTCATTCTCCTCGTTTTGACTTTACAATTTCGCACTTTCAATACCCCATTTACTCTCTTCCTTTCTTTAAGCGCCCCTTTCTTACACTCTCTCTTTCCCTGTCACGCTGTCCTCGACGTACATCTCTCTTAATTCACCATAAATCTCTCCAAACTCATTCCTTTGCCCGTACACGTACACATCACGTCGGCTCGATCGGCGTCCAGACGCCACCGGGACCCAAACGTCGCGATTTACTAGCCCCGGAAATGTGTATGCTCCACACCAAATTATTAGATTAAAGTACTGGGACTAGGGTTCATCCTATTTCACTTAAGGCACTGGAATATATCTTGAATTACCCCTTAACACATTCCCTCGGAGGCTGGGATGATGAAATGCATTTTTATGAAGATTGACAGTGGAAAATATCACGATGACCTCTTAAAGAGCGACCGGGGGCCATTTTGCAACCATTAATCCGACATGTTATCAAATGTATTGCATAGGAGATCTTTTTCACACTAATGCTGGCCGTCAGCTCCCATGTTGTTTCAATAAGTGTTGAAATGTTGCTACATGTTTGTTTTGCAGTTTACTTGTGTACAACTCCCATAGTGATGTCGAAATACAGTTAATTTTTACCCGACTGCAAAGAAAGCGTGTTTGAATCATTGTGAATAAGAAATCCAGAGGTCGACGGCTTTAAGCCCTCTCCCTGGGATTAAAGTCTTTCCAAAGGGCACTAGCGAATCTATTTGGTTTCGAATCCGAGTCCTCCTGGCCTCCGAGAACACCGCTCTATCCATAAACCATCTCTCCCTTGGTGTCTGGCTACGGGGGTGTCGGGATTTAGTAATGTGGGAACATAGAGATCTCGTAATCTTTGTGAGTGTTTCGGAACCTAAAGATGACGACAGTGATGAGGGGAATTACGAATGCTGGTTATCGGACTAAAGAAATATCGGGACAGTGGCATGATAATGGTAATGTTGTTGGAATAGAGGAATTGAAACATATGGAAGTCGTAGAATAGGGCTAGAACCACTCAAAATGGACCATCCACACTAACAACCACTCAATATCCACAATCAATGATTAGAGATATATACCATCATATTCTATTTTCTTTTTATTGCCAGACAAATGCAACAACCGTGCCTGAAAAGGGTATTTTTTAAATGAGAGCTCCGGGTTTACAATGAATCTGCGACATTTAATATTTTGTTTGCTTACATACACAGCAACTAAAACACAAACATCCGTCCATCGTTTGAATCTCTTGTAAGGCCCAAGTCGGCCATTGGTCCTTTGATCCCAGACTTTCGATTGTAATTTGTGGTCTGAGGAATAGGCCGGATCGATCGGCTCGTACAAACTACAACACACCCTAACAAATACCGATACATTTATCAATACTTAAAAAAGAACATTAAACATCTATGACACTGAGTTAAGGAGGTGCAATTGCATTTTCGTGTAACTACAACACACCATGTATTTTAGAACAGCTTATTTGTTTCTTAAAAGATGAGTTGACAGAGTATGCAAACCTAATACGTTCCACATGTTCTATGCATTACTTGGATATCGAAGTCGGAGTAGTTAGTATTATGTAATCTTTATGCAAGAGTTAGTTGTTACAGTAGTTAAATAGAATATCAGCAGTTTGTATGTACATAACAAAATCATATGCCAAGTCAATTATCTACGAACTATGTATCTTCGCAATGCTTTTGACATTCCCATATTACTTAACCTCCTTTCCCAGCACGAAGTGACAATTCTGAATTTGTTTACTCATACCTAGATATTTAACCAATTGATGGGCCGTTCGTTTCATAGGTAGAATTTTCAGCATCAATTCATACGTACCATATCGCAGTTCTCTTATTTGATATTTACAACAAATTACATTGAAATGGATATATATTATTATATATATATATTTCTACAGGGCTGCATTCATCGGCGACAAATTTGAAATGTAGATCTGAACAAAAAAAGAATGATGAAGAAAATAAATTGGCTTTCTTTCAGATCTATAGAAGTGTAACAACTGTTTTGTTCACATGAAGTATTTATATGTACACTTTACTTTCTCCTGCCATACACTATAAGTCAAGTATTGTTTTATTAGTTGGAATAGCCTTCATTTCTCTCCGGTTTTGTCCATCTCCCATTTTGACATTGTTATTTACAAATTAATGATTTAAAGGTACAACCTATTATGAACGTTAATCCGATGCAAAGTATAGATACAATGTTTGAAATAATAATGTTTCCATGTAAAACCTTCATTGAATCAAATATTTAGCTCTTTTTTTTTCTTGAATAAAACTTTAACTTGGTTTGTATTTTGATAAACTAAAAGATTTCCAGCAAATCTGTATCGATCTTGCTTTGAATAATCGAAGCCGTATATTTAATTGAATAGGTAGAAGTGATAGGAACTAAAAACTTATCCGAATGTGTAGATGATATGCCGTGTTGCAATATCAGGCAAGCTTACTTCCCTAATTTGGGGCGCTGGCGGGCTCTGAAGTTGGCCCTTTTTTCATCTTCTACCAGGGCTGCGTCGGGCTCATCTCGCTTTCCAGGTCTTCTTCCCCGTCCTCTGAAGTAGTTCGCTCTCTTTTCCTCATCCATGAATTCATCTACCAGGGCTGCATCGGGATCGTCTCGCTTTCCGTTACCGCGGAGCCGACTTCTAAACATGTTCGCTCTCTTTTCTTCATCCACGAATTCATCACCGAAATCGTCACCTACCAGGGCTGCGTCGGGATCGTCTCGCTTTCCTTTACCGCGGAGCCGACTTCTAAACATATTAGCTCTCTTTTCCTCATCCCAGTCACCAGGTACCAGGGCTTCGGCTGCGTCGGGATCGTCTCGCTTTCCCTTACCACGGAGCCGACTTCTAAACATATTCGCTCTCTTTTCCTCACTTAAGTCACCACCAGGTACCAGGGCTTCGGCTGCGTCGGGATCGTCTCGCTTTCCTTTACCGCGGAGCCGGCTTCTAAACATATTCGCTCTCTTTTCCTCACTTAAGTCACCACCAGGTACCAAGGCTTCGGCTGCGTCGGGATCGTCTCGCTTTCCTTTACCGCGGAGCCGGCTTCTAAACATATTCGCTCTCTTTTCCTCACTTAAGTCATCACCAGGTACCAGGGCTTCGGCTGCGTCGGGATCGTCTCGCTTTCCTTTACCGCGGAGCCGGCTTCTAAACATGTTCGCTCTCTTTTCCTCACTTAAGTCATCACCAGGTACCAGGGCTTCGGCTGCGTCAGGATCGTCTCGCTTTCCTTTACCGCGGAGCCGGCTTCTAAACATGTTCGCTCTCTTTTCCTCTTCCCAGTCACCAGGTACCAGGGCTTCAGCTGCGTCAGGTTCGTCTCGTTTTCCTTTACCGCGGAGCCGACTTCTAAACATGTTCGCTCTCTTTTCCTCATCCCAGTCACCAGGTAACATGGCTGCATCGGGATCGTCTCGCTTTCCGTTACCGCGGAGCCGACTTCTAAACATGTTCGCTCTCTTTTCCTCATCCCAGTCACCAGGTAACATGGCTGCATCAGGGTCGTCTCGCTTTCCTTTACCGCGGAGCCGACTTCTAAACATATTCGCTCTCTTGTCCTCACTCAAGTCATCATCGGGTACCAGGGCTGCGTCAGGCTCGTCTCGCTTTCCAGGTTTTCTCCCCCGTCCCCGGAAGTAGTTTGCCCGTTTGTCGACATCTTCTGTAACCTCACCGTCAGCTTTGATACTGGTTGTGGTGATAAGGAGACATAGAGCTCCTAGGAGCAGACCTGCCCATAGATATGCGTTTCGTGACATCGTAGCTCCTGCACAAAAGAAACACAAGATACAATGGCAAACTGTTAAAGGTGAAATTCAAAGAAAATCACAAATATGTTAACTAATGTATCACTAGAAACTGGTAAGCTAACAGATGGCCATCGTACAAGTTTTAGGTCAACTACATATTGGGTGATTTATACAAATACAAATACAACCACCTCCTTAGCAGCTGGAATATACGAGAGATTCGCCGGAAAAATAACGATGTTTTAATGACGTCACTATATGAACCAATACTGCCCAAGCAGACGACATCCCATAAAGAATGAACATAATTGCAAAGCCATTATTTGTCAAATTATAATGAGTTTAGTGTATATAAATGTAATGGCATGTCAAACCATTCAAAAGGGGATATGACCCGATTCTGATAACTAAAATCTTTTGCTTGTAAATACACAGGATAGGGGTTATAATTAACAACCAAAGAAACCAGACTTTCAAAATGAAGGCCCCCCGGAATGATACTCAGGACGGTATTTGTTCCCTCTTGGAACGCCGAACATACCGCGGTGTGTGCAGCTGAATATACAATGGCGTCTTATTTTGTTTACAAGCGACAGATTCCTTTTTTTGTGTATCGTTGCATTTGTCATCAAAATAAAACCATGCGCCGGGTTTAGAGTGAGGCAATAGATTATACATTTAGCCTGACGGTAGTGAAGTAAGAAATCATGTCCATACTGTGATCTCACACATCTCCACAGCGTTCGGAGAGCTCTTCAGGTGCTATGCCGGGGCTGTATTTAAGCGTTTTGTAATTTATAATAATCATTACTTCGAATGTTACCAAGCTTTGAATTTTGATAACCTAGTCGAATCAAAGTTTCAACTTTGCAATAATGAACATAAAATTAGTTATTAAATTCAATGAATATCTACTTTAAGCGTTTGTGTAACTTCAAGTATTGTATCGTATAACTGACATATGATGAGAAAAAGATTTGTCATGCTTTAAAACAATACTTAACTGAAGAACTTTCCGTCTTCGGGTAATGTGCACAGCGACGTCTCATTATGTCAGCTTGCCAACAGTGTGTAACCCAATACTTAATTACCACAAGACAGACAGGGGACTCGATGCGAGAACCAACAGCGCAGCTAGGGAAGCATCGAGTTACGGGACCATACTGCTACAGCGGACCTGAGTTGCGCTAGAGGAGAATTTGCGGTAGTGGTACCGTAGGGCTTTAAACCATGAACCATGCTGTTTTAGTCCTCTATCTTCAGCTTATGCCTTTTAATTTTTAAGAGCAACTTTCACGAAATTCATAGTAAAGCCAACGAATTCAATTGATTGTGATGTCAGGGTATGAGACATAACAAGCTTCAGATATAGGATAATTCATACCATCCCTTTGGCCGTTTCATTTCCTATGGCTATTTGACATATTTTGGAATTTAAATACTAAGGTGGCCTAAAAGATGAGGTACTGTAGATAGTAGCAGAAACCATTGCAACTTAGAGGCTGTTCACACCGGCAGAGATAGCGCGCGCTAGACCGCGCTATCTCTGCGGTGTGGGAGGTACATGGGCGTACGCAGGATTTTTTGAAGGGGGGGGTTTTAAAATATTTTGCTCCCGAAAATTTGAAAATCGCGCCGGCCGAAAAGTCGCTCAGTGGGGGGGGGGGGGGGGGGGGGGGGGGGGGGGAAGCGGATACTTTTTTTTTTTTTTTGGAGGTCAAAAAAAATCGCAACGACTCAGCCAGCCGAAAAGTCGCTCAGTGGGGGGGGGGGGGGGGGGGGGGGGGGGGGGTAAGCGGACACATTTTTTTTTTTTTGGTCTCGAAATTTCATAATTTGACATTTTTTGTCGTTGGGGGGGGTAAGGTCACCTTATTTAGGTTAGCCGTGGGTATAATTTTTTTTTTTTTTTTTTAAAATATAAAAAAAAAAAAAAAAAAAAAAAAAAAACCAAAGGGGGGGTTTTAGGGTTTTTTAGGGGGGGTTTACATACATAAAAATACCAAAGGGGGGGTTTGAACCCCCAAAACCCCCAAAACCCCCCCCTGCGTACGCCCCTGGGGAGGTACAACGTCGTTTCGGTCCGCCACACAGCGAGCCACGGCGAGCCAAAACGGTGTGCCACTGGAGCACCTCTTGGGGGTGATCCACGAGAGATAGCGCGGTCTAGCGCCCGCTAGAAAAAAGGGGGTGCTACGATAGACCGTGCTATCTCATTGCGGTGTGAACAGCCTCATAGTCTGTTGAAGGTAGAAAATGTGCCTGCTTTTGTGACATGCGCTCTAAACTAGTGTTATTTCAAATCATTATTGGTAATATTATTATTATTATTTCATTGAACTATGAGCTATGAATAATGACCGCTTCTTTAGCCCTATTTCGAATAGTAGTAAAGCAGTCATCCGTCGTAACGTTTGCACCAAATTATTGCGACTAGTAAAGACCCTGCCATAACCATGCATATGTGCCGGACGCGGCGCCACGTGGATACTACCAAACCCATTCCGAACAGACCGGCTTAATTGACCAACGTAGGAAATGCAATTTCTATTGGTTTGTAGTCGGTCTCATATCGGCCCCGTTGGTGTGACTTCAGCAATATGGACGTTTAGATTTACACGACGAGAACATAGACTGCCACGTGTGACATCCTTTTAAGGCAATGTGACTTCCTTTTAAGGCACTGGCATTGCCCGGTAGTGCCTTAAAAGGATGTCACACGTGGCAGTCCACGTTTTCGTCGTGCAGATCTAAAAGTCCCTATTTACCACGCCGGGACATATCACAACGTATTAACAACAAACTCCGTAATTCAAATCATGCACGTTTACATCCCGTCAATAAATCCTTGGAGAGTAAGAATCCTTTCAAAACCCTTCAAAGTATTACTTTTATATCAAAGAAACCTGGGAGATTCTCCTTCAAAGATTAGGGTGAACAGGAGCGACCATCTTCCCGAAGGCTGAACTATTGGATAAACGTTCCGACTTGCGTCAAACTATTCACCTGACAACGAGCCAAACGTCAAACTCTACCTCATCCAATTCATTAGCACGATTTCACAGTCCCGCCTATAGGGTATGGTGTATTGCCCCTACCAATGTCCTTTCATATGCCAGCCAGGCAACCCTATAGAAGAATTTCTGAAGACGCGGAAACATGCTTTCACGTGGGCACGCCCAACCATGTTTTGCAGGTGTTCCAACAACAACGGTGTGCGTTTCCTCACGCTGGCGTGCATAATAGCGCAACAGGGAACGTCTTTCACTTCGAATATGTACGAAAGACTGATTTCAAATGAATCTCAATTTATCAATGGTTAACGATTATAACCAGATAACGGTAGAATATTGAATAGGACACTACAAGCGCGAAACGCGCAGGTGCCCAATGTCACATTTATCCGGATTGATCGAGGCTTTTAAAGAACCTCAATTGAATCGTTCAAACTACTCTTTACCTGACGCGAGGTTTCCTTCAGACATGAGACAAAGTAACCTTCAGTGCATTGGCAACAATGTGACCAAGAAGAAACGAACTTCAAAGCTCCTTAATTCACATCTGTTTCAAACAGAAGATAGCAAAAGTTCCAGGCGAAATCCATTTTCCAGTATTAAATTCAGTTCCAATTTTCCTGAGTTTATTCAAGTTTTCCTGGCTATATTCAAATATTTACTTTCAAGGCATAATGTGACATCAATCAAGGAAATCATGGTGCCGAATACACACACTGAAACAAAAAAAAAGATACGAGTAACACATTTTACCTTCATAAAATAAGGCAATGACCTACATAGTTAATCCCTTTGCCATACAAGGTTGAGTTGAAATTACGACCTTTTTATGATCGTAAAATAATCAGCTTCAATTATTTTCTTCCCCTTCTTCCCCTATTTTCTTCCCCTGTTATGTTTCATTTATACATATTTCTTTTTAAAACTTTTCTCTCTCTCTCTCTCTCTCTCTATGACATATTGACCCCATAACCAGGCGCGGATCCAGGATTTCTTAGGGGAGGGGGCCCAATTTTTTTTTTTTTTGCTCCCGAAAATTTGAAAATCGCGCCGGCCGAAAATTCGCTCAGTGGGGGGGGGGGGGGGGGGGTGGGTGGGTACAGAGCACAATTTTTTTTTTTTTTTTTTTTTTTTTTTTTGCTCCCGAAAATTTGAAAAACGCGCCGGCCAAAAATTCGCTCAGTGGGGGGGGGGGGCCCGGGCCCCCCCTGGATCCGCCACTGTCCATAACCATATCATGCTCTAACCCCTCCTATGTTCACTTTCTTATTTTCTATCCCCCATCTACCCTTTTTTCTGCATCTCCCTCTCACATCATGTCACTGTCTCTTTCCATCACTCGGCCGTTGGCCCTGTCTCCTTTCTCAGAGACCTTTCCACTTTGTTGCACCTTTAATTATGTGCACTTCCCTGGAGGTCTTACAACCCTAATATTTGCATATCAGGGTCCACAAGACAGCCACCTTCCATTTTGCTCCAGCGCCGTAAAATCTGCCTCTTCTCATCGACAACGGGGCAGAATTTCATCTCCGAATTGTGACTATTATATAGGCACCGCATTAGGCTAAGTGATTTTGTTCTTTAGTTATGGTTTCTTGCTCAAACCTCTATACATCATTTGTCGCGCCGATCAGGGCATGCAGCAAATAGACATTAGACCTAGAGCACGTGATGTTTATCTTATGTCATGCCACTCAGTGATGCCTCACATGTTAAAGCTAGTGTTCAGCATTTTCACGAGATAATGAAAATGTTTGAATTGTCCCTGCCTGTATATCAGCCTTCAACTGCTACCCGTAATTTGCCTAAACATGTCCCAAACAGGAAGTCCAAAGTTCCTCCGTTTTCTTTTTGGGCATGATTTATCCATGAATTATTACGCAAGAGAAAAACATCTGAGAACCATCCCCCTCCCCCCCCCCATCATTTTCCATTATTTTGGGCCTCTCCTAAGAAAATATTACGTCCCAGTCCATCTATCTGCTATCTGTTCACTTAAACGA